AAAGTCGACCAGATGTTGACTTATATGTAAACGACCTCGAATTTGAATTTTGATGGTTCAGTTAGCTCCGTTAGGTGATTTTGGACTTAGGAGCGCGTCCGGATTGTGTTTTGCAAGTCCGTAGAAGAATTAGGCTTGAATTGGCGAAAGTTGGAATTTTGGCGAATTTGACCGGCAGTGGAAATTTTGATTTCGGGGTCGGATTTGATTTCTAGAAGTTGGAGTAGGTTCATGGTGTCATTTCTGACTTGTGTGCAAAATTTGAGGTCAATCGGACGTGATTTGATATGTTTGGCGTTGCTTTAGAATTTGGAAATTTTAAAGTTCATTAGGCTTGAATCCGGGTGTAATTCGTGTTTTTGATGTTGTTTGAGGTGATTTGAGGATTCGACTAAGTTCATATGATATTTTTGGACGTGTTGGTATGTTTGGTTGAGGTCACGAGGGCCTCGGGTGAGTTTTGGGTGATTAACGGATCATTTTTGGCCTTTGAGAGATAGCTGATATCTGGTGCTATGTTTTTCTGGTTTCCTCTTACGCATTCACAAGGAGACTCGCATTCCCAAAGAGTGTTTCTGAGCTGGTGGGATTTTTGTTCTACGCGTTCGCGAAGGAGAGGGCACGAACGTGAAGATATGGCAGTGTGTACATCACGAACGCGTGAGTGGTGTCGCGTTCGCGAAAAGGAGTGAGGCAGATGGGGACCCCCAGGTTCGTGGTCTACGCGTTCGCGAGGTAAAAAACGCGTTCGCGAAGCATTGGTCGTGTTCACGAAGAGTAAAGATGAGAGGCAATCTGAGTTGTTCTACGCGAAGCAAGAGGACGGTCACGTTCACGAAGAATAAAATCTGGGCAGACAGTATTAATTTCAAAAACGAGGGTTTGAGCCCATTTTTCATATTTTGAGCTAGAGATCACGGATTTGGGCGATTCTTGAAGGGATTTTTGCGGAGTTTATTAGGGTAAGTGTTTCTTACTTGTTTTTGGTTAAATCCCATGATTATATCTTTGATTTGATTATCTAGTTTGTGATTTGGGGTGAGAAATCGGGGAAAAAGAGGAAGAACTCTTGAATTAGGATTTTGATGTTTTGAATGGGATTTTATTATCGAATCGGATTAAATTTGGTATGGTTAGACTCGTGAGTGAATGGGCTTTCGGATTTGGTGACTTTTTCCAGATTTTGAGACGTGGGCCCAGCGGGTTGAGCTAATTTCGGATTTTTGGGTCTAATTTAGTAGTTTTCTTATGGAATTGATCCCTTTAGCCTATATTAATTGTATTGTACTGCTTGTGGCTAGATTCAGGATATTTAGAGGCCGACTCGCGAGGCACGGGCATTTTGGAAGAGAGTTTTACTCGGACTGAGGTAAGTAGCTATTATAAATCTGGTCTTGAGGGTATGAAAACCCGGATTTTGGTATCGTGTGACTATTTTGGAGGTGAGGCACATGTTAGGTGACGGGTGTGTGGGCGTGCGCCGAAGGGATTGTGACTTGGTCCGTCCCGTGAGACTGTAAAGTCGAACAGCTTACTATTCACTACAGGTTCGCTCTATTTCCTGGAGATTTGACTGCAATTCATGCTAGAAATCATGCTTAGGCCATATGATATTACTGTTGGGACCCGCAGAGGTCGTACACTAGTTGATTTAGCTACTATTTGTTGTCTTGTACTCAGTCATGACTTTAATTGCTTATGATACCCCCATCTCTTCTTGTTACTTGTTGATACATGTTATTATCTCTGTTTGGGCTGATTTATACGATTTCTGCGAGCCCGAGAGACTAGGAAGGTTGATGATTGAGTGAGGCCGAGGGCCTGAGAGTGAGCTATTGGATATAGTAGCCCGTGAGTTGTCCGTGCGAATCTAGATTTGATACTGTAGCATGTGAGTTGTTCGTGCGGATCTTGATATGATGTTATAGCACGTGAGTTGTCCGTGCAGCACGCGGCTTGTCCGTGCGGATCATAGCGCTTGGGCTGTAGGAGCCCCTCTGGAGTCTGCACACCCCCAGTGAGCGCATGTACCTATTAAGTATGAGTACTGAGGGTTGAGTGCTGAGTGCTGAGTGATTGAGATGTTGAGATGAGTTGAGTGACTGTTGCCCTGTGAGGCTGTACTTGCTTTCACTTGTTGTTGCACTTAGTTGATGCCTATTATTGTTGTGAAATTTCCAGAAGATTTATATCCAGTTTACTTGAACTTGAAGTTGTATAAAACTAATTTGACTTAAACTGTCGGATTAGAAAGCATGTCTATTATTGAAGTTTACTGAATTGAACTGTACTTGTATAGCTCGTAATTGCTTCTCAGTTCCTTATTTGTTTCTGTTACTTACTGAATTGGTTGTACTCACGCTACACCCTGCACTTTATGTGCAGATCCAAGTGTGTCCGGTCACGGAGGTTGTTAAGCTCATGCTTGGTCGAGTACAGGAGATTTACGAGTTAACTGCCGGTGTTCGCAGTCCTTGTCTCTCCTTTCTTATTATCTTTTCTCTCTTGTATTAGCATTTGGCACAGACAGTTGTAGACTTTGTTTCTAGATTGGTTGTTAGATGCTCATGACTTACTGACACCCCGATCTCGGGAGTATTCCGCACTTATGTTTTGGGGTTCACCCCGTTTCTTTGTAAACTCCGATTATTTTAAATGTCTTAACTCATTTATGTTAAACTTTGAATTTTTTTTTGAAAATATAAGCTTGCCTAGTACCAGGATAGGCGCCATCACGACGTGTTAGGTTTTGGGGTCGTGACATGATTAATATAATTATTATTTTAGAAGTTCAATAATTATCAAATTACTTTAGAAGGCATATTAGTTTAACTATTTCGCAAGCATATTTTTTCTATCGAAAGAGAAACAAATCAACAAACAAAAACTAGCTAAAGATCAAGCGAGGAAATGAAACTCCAACAACATATCCCCGAACACGCGGAGAAATACAAGAAGCTACATTTACATGCCATTCCAAACGAGGCTATTGGCCAAACCATCAACTACTAAATTAGCCTCCTGTATATATGATCAAATATAGACCACCCAATTCCTAGCCAAGAGATGGCGAATGCGGTTGACAATACTAAAATAAGGTTGAAAATTAAGCATATTGGGAAGTACTAAAATCATGTTTGGATGTTCAATTCTCAAATTAAAAAGTTAATTAAGTTACCATCTTTGTGTTTTACAACACTAATTTTAGTAGTCTAAAACTTTCCTGATTTTATAAATCAAAAAAATTTATCCACTAGTAACCTTCATAATTAGACATACCCAAATTATAAATCAAGAAACATGCGACATTATAATAATTTTATTTCTCAATTATAATATAATCTTATTGCAAATATATAACAGTTCTACACGCATTTCATATGTTTAATTTTTCTCATATATATCACCATAATACAAGCAGTATTAGTTACATATTTCTCAGTGAAGCTAAACATTCCTATTTACAATTTGATCACAATGTTCTAAACACTCAGCATTTCAAATTATTATAACGAAATAAAAATAGAGGTTATCAAGAAAGGTAAATAGGAATGAGTCCCTTCAATTTCCTATTCTGATTGGGAATAAAGGGGTTAGTCCGATATTGCCTATGAAACGGAAAAACCTCAAGGAAAAACCTAAATCCCAATTTGAGTTTCTATGGGAGAAATATAATAAAAATCTATAAAAAGGTAATGAGAGAGCCTCCATTCTTCATTCTTCATTCTGCTTTGTGCTTTGCATATTACTACGGCGCCATGGAAGAGGGTGATCATAAAAACAAAGCTATCATTCCCTACAATTCTACTTTCTTGTGCATGACCATGAACACCCTTCAGGACGATATCAAAACGTTGTCTCTGTTTCCACAATTTTCAGATAACAGTGTTATAAAGGCAGAACCAATTGATTATGCTTATCCTCATGAGTCGTCATCAATAAATTCCACTACTGCTAGTAATTTCTCATGCATCTCCACCTTTGACGACAATCACTACGACACCAAACTCCCCACTTTGTCTCTCTTTCCACAAAACCAAGCTGCTTCTAAACCCAGAACATTGTCTCTCTTTCCAGAATTTTCAGAAAACCTAGCTACTGCTTCAAAACACTTTGTAAATAATCCTCCTCCGCCATCAACATCATCGCCGTTGCCTTCAACTGATCTCTGTCTTTCTCTACCAGGTACAATGCCCGAAACCTCGACGCTGCCCTCCAATTCTAATTCCCCGAATATCATTAATCAAGATTCTTGTGCCCCCAAAAGGTTGTTCCATCAGCCTAATATCGGTCCTGTTTTAAAAAGAAAAGGAGAAGATCAGAAACTTGTTCCTATAAAGAAACGGCGTTTAATTTTACGGCCGGTGGCCCCTGCGGAAGAACACTGGATAATTAAGAAGTTGACAAAGAGTGATGTGAATGGATCTTCAAGGCTTTTGTTGCCGAGACAAGAGGTGAAGACATACGTTATACCTTACTTGGATGAACAAAAAGCTACAGATTGCCAAAAGTTATGTGGAACTGATGTTAATGTCTGGGATTTGGATACACAATCAGAGTATTCTTTAACGCTCAAGAAATGGGCAACCGATAGTTTTCAACTCATCAAAAGCTGGTCCCCCTACTTTGTCAAGAGAAGGAATTTAAAAGAAGATGATGTGATTGCGCTTCGTTGGGATCGAAACAATTCAAGATTTTGCTTCCGCGTTCGAAGTAGGCATGATCATCAAGTGGATAATGAATGATCATAGCGTCCTGTTTTTATTAGTTAGCTATGTTTTCGTTTTGTTAATTGTTTCATTCTTTTGCCTTCTTTTACATTTTTATGTTTCTGGTTTGATCACGTATCTTGTTGAGGAAACCAAATTAAAATTACCACGTATCTTGTGACTTGTTTAATCAAACTTGTTCCTGGGAAGTGCTTTGTTCGACTTTATCTTAGGATATGCACAACAGCTAAAAGATTTTAAATTACATATAATACACAGATAGCAAGAATCTTTAAGTATCTCATACGCATAAACATTTATTCAATACTTGAATGTAGAAATGATAGTATCACCAAAACAAGCAAACACATTTATTCAACATCTTCAACGTAGATGTGACAGTATCACCAAAATGAAACAAACTTGCAAAGCACAAGACTGCTGGCTCACCAAAGTAACATCAAACTGGGCCATGCACATAAAGACTACTATCGCTAAATAACACTTGAACAGAATACGACACTCAAGCTTATAACATTCTTCATCCAGCAACTTTCCTTGAATAGCTTCTTCCAGGAAGAAACTCTTGAGACCGTCCATGGAACAAGTCCTGCTGCCCATGCCACCCTCCTGCCTTCATTGGCTTAAATACTGGCTGCTTTGTAGGTCCTCTACCAGAGCCAATGCTCACGTTCGCCAGCTTCTCAGCTGCATCCGAAATGGCACGAGTTGTCACTCCAGAACCAACCACTGCCAAGCCAAAAAAATAAAAATGAAAAGCTTTAGGGAGGGACACAATTGTACAAGTAAAACCAAAGTATTTTGTTCCGAAATTAGAGGAGGGTGGGAGTTCTGGCCAAGAGACATGTGAAAAAATATTAAGTTGAATAGAACTTACTTGGGACATTCCTTACAGGAGGTCGGTATTTTGGTTGTTGATTAACAGAGTCTTTCATGGATTTATCATTCCTCATTGGTTCCTGAACATTCGTTGCATAGATTAGATTCAAGTAGAATACCTATGTCATGCACAGCATTCATCTGGCAGATGCAAACAGTAACTAAAGGTTGTTTACAAGGCAACTATACCTGATAATTCATATCCAACCTCCTTTGTACGCCTGTTACATGAGTCACTGTGTGAAATTACAATTGTATAAGTATCAGAATGAATAAAAAATTTGTGTATAGAAAAAAAGATGGTTCTTTCACAATTAAATTCAGGAAAGAAAAATATTAGAAGGTTTGTGCAAAGAACTAGCCCCTCTGATTAGTTGGACCCCTGTAAAATCCTTCAAATTATTATATGTTACCTGTGTTAACAGGCACCTGTGACTTAACGGTGGAGAAGCTACTGGGCTTGGGGTTGGGTGACGACCCAAACGACCACTTGTCGTACTTTTGCTCCAATGAACCCCTCATGACAGCTACAGCAACCAAAAGTCCTATTAGGTTCATCATAAAGCAGCATAAAACCCAAGTTTCTTTCAAGTAAATACTAAAGACAGCACAAACCCGGAGGAGGAGTCTTAGCAACAGCAGTCTTGGTGCGTAGTGATGGAGGTACATAAAAACAACTCTGTAGCATCATAAATGATATTATATAGTTTAATAGAGACACAAAACACCAACTTATGTACATTAGGTTAAAAAAGGAAAGGAATTTGCCACCTGGAAGTAAGGATGTTGAAGAGCATCGACGGCTGTCGGCCTATTACAAGGATCCCATGAACAAAGAGACTGCAGCAGAATACAAATAAGATAAAAAGACAATCTATCAGATACACCATTCTGTTGCTTCAGAAACAAAGGAGCTCTTGTCCATATATAACCATGTAGCGATCAATTCAGAATAGTGATATAAATGCTTTTAACCCCTTCTTACCGTGATTAGGCTAACAGCATCCTCACTGGCAGATGGAATTAGCAAGGCAAGATCTACACCAGCAATCTGCCAGATAAAACAAGGAAGCAGGTGTCAACCCAAAATCAGATGTCAAATGAGATGGATTCGTTAGTTAATCTAACAACAGCATTTTCTATGTTGAGCCAAGGAATAGTTATAGTTTCTTTCAATGGAAAAGTTTAAAAAGACCCTCTTTACAATGATTTAAAAGATACACTGGAATTCAAAGGCAAAAGGACGAGGGAGGGGGGAGCTCAGCTAATATGAAAATCCTCTAAGAATCGATCAATAATCCATTAAAAGAATCCAGAAACAGCAGATATCTTCATAGCAAGGGAGAGCAATGTGGACCTGTGGAAATTGGTAGTTGATAGCACTAGCAAGTTGAAGTCCCTGCGCCCATTCCCTCTTGGATGGGGTCCCTATAACACTGCATATTTTGTATATCTCATCTGCTTCACTGCACCCAAAGAGGACAAGAGCGTACAGTAGACGGTCACAGAAAGGTAATGATTTGCAAATGACAGTCTCCAATCCACCAATCCCTCCTCTCCTCTTCTATATACATTTTTATGCAAGTCACAAAGAAATCAATATTATAACCACAGATGCATACCTTGAACCCGGAAATAGAGGACGAAGACTAAACAACTCAGCCATTATAGCACCCATTGCCCACATATCTGCAGTGTTGAAAGACAATCAATATACATCCAGAAAGAAATAGCTGAAACGGATATTGTATAGTATGTATTACTTACCAACAGCAGGACCATAGATTGGTGACTGGAGAAGAATTTCAGGAGCACGATACCTGCAGTCCCACATAACAGAGATCAGAAGAAAAAAGCTTACGTTTTAGACCAATGAAGGTACAGAAGACCAGGCATACTGACCAACGTGTTGATACATATTCCGTATATGGAGGCTGAGCGTTGATTTCCCGAGCAAGACCAAAATCAGCAATTTTAATTATATCTTGCGAAGCCAACAAGTTCTCTGGACAACCATCAGTATCATATGTAAAAATGGGTTAGATCACAATGGAATTGGTCCATTTGGACTATGATGTCATAAACTCCATAAACATAATAAGACATATTCAACTGCTATAATATGCAGATTTTCATGATTGCATGCACATATATCACAAAAATATTGTATTAGCTCTTCCAGTTTTCCTTGGTGCCTTAATACTAATATCTTTATAACAAACACTAATATGTATTTTTAGTTTTCCAAGAGACGCGGTGAATGCATCACTAAAGATATAACGAGAAAAAAAATAAAAAGAAAAAAGAAAGGGAGCAGGGTCACTGCATCACCATACATATACAGGATCTTCATGATCAAGGACGCTTAAAGGAAAACAAGAGAGAGTACAGCTGATGTCATTCACTAAGATAGTTTCAGTTAAGTCAACTCTTCACCATCACCCAGAGCATTTACAGACAAAAAAGTGGGAAAGTTAAACACCTGGCTTAAGGTCACGATGAAAATATCCTCGTCGATGAATATAAGCAAGACCCTGAAATACTTGGAAGCACCAATTTCTTACTTCGGATTCTGAGAAACGCTTTGCTCTGTCCTTCATGAGCTGATATAAATTGCACTCCTACAAAAACTCATACAGAATTAGATACTCAATTAACTGACTGGTCACAAATATATACAAAGGGAAACCATCACATACCATGTATTCAAACACAAAGTACAAAATGTCATTCTCCCTAACCACTTCCTTCAGCTTCACAATATTTGGATGGTTCATTTTTCTCAAAGACTGCAAAAGGATTTATGGTTATTGAATCCTCAGCAAAGGAAAGACCAAATATGGCCCAAAGGAAGGAAATCATCTAACCTTGACCTCTCTCAAGTTTATGCATTCTTCCCATGAATAATACTTCTTCTTCATCTTTTTTATTGCAACCTGTGTTACACAAATGAATAGAATTAAAAGGACTTCAAAAGTACAGCAACATCAGTACGTTCTTTGTTGATCCTTGCACATCTACACCTACCACTTCACCAGTCTGTTTATTAAGTGCACGCCAAACATTTCCAAATGTGCCATTACCAACTTCGTTAATTATCTTGTACCTGCACCATTAAGACGAATTAGACGAGCATACAGAAAAAAGAAATCAATAACAATAAGGGGAACGAGACCAGCACCTTTCCATTTTTGCAGCTTCAATAGCACGTAGGACACTTATTTATTGGAGGCGGAGAGATAACAAGCACATAAACTAAGTGAAATTTTTTCGGTCTCGGAATGACTGGAAAAGAAAATACTAAAAGGAACTAGTGGCCTGACTGATTCAGCAAAATCCCCTTAGTTTCCTTCGGAAAAACTGACGAGGGCAAAACCAGCAATGATAGGACGAATGGGCGTCACAGCCTTATTTGTTAGATATACGGCACTAAAAGATCCAAAACTGTAACAGGAGAGAGAAAGCAAGCAAAGACAAGTGCCACAATGCATCTTGATACTACTTCAGAGCTAACTGAGACTCAAACAGCTAAATTCAACAGGTCGATCACACGTTCAAGAGATGATTGAAACTTCTTTCTCAACAGCACATTAGCTCCTTGCCTCCAATACACTTTAGTCTGATACCAAGTCTTCAGTCAACTGAATCGTGAAGACAGGTAGATAGAAACTACCAAACCCGAAGCAAGTGTACAAACAGCTAACTAACTCCAACTATGTATTCATGCATCTGCTGATTTAGCCCTGTAATGGACAATGACAGCCAAAAATGATGTAAGGCTATTAGAAATTATGAGCACTATAACAAAGTAACATTCAACCCACAGCAATACCTCAGAGGATGGTTTCCAAAGGGTCTTGAATGGGTGTCGTATCGGCAATGCGCTAGTAAAAATAAATTTGCACGAGGTAGTTAACAGTACAGTCACAACTGACATCATACGGTGTGCTGCTTACTAGAGGAATTGCATTAAACATCCAACACACTAGCTTATATGGAAATTGCAAATTGCCTCCTGTACTGAACAGCCAAGAGGAGCTGTTCACTATGTGCAATTGACAAAGGAAACAAGAAGGAAATCTCTACGGATGAGGAACCGCCAATCAAGAACTTCCTGAAATGAAAAAGCTCGATACCCAAAGCATTCAGAGAAAAGGCACACTTGCTCCATGTCCTAAAAAATACTATTCTCTTGGAATTGAAGTTTACTGGATCCTGAAAAAACAACCAGGGAAGACGAGTTAGTATGTCACGGCACAATACTAAACAAAAGGAAAATACCAAGAGAAGCCAACTAAGCTTGAGATAGACAATGGCAGAGCTACAATTTAACAAGTTAAGACTTAAGCAATGAAATTACATTAACTTGCAAGCATTCTAATCAAGGATCCCAGTCAACATCCTCACCTAGATAAGCACTAAACAGGCTTAGTGGCATTAAGATCAGCTCAATCATTGTTGTTCAAGATTAAGTTATAATTAGGCAGTTGCAGGTAAAACCTTCCTATAAATCTATTTATATACCAGCCTTCAAAATAGTATTCATGACTATCACAAATGTCATCTAGCAATCAAACAGTAAGAACAAACTCTAAATAGTTGGATTAAGAAATATACAGCAAACTTATGTCATATTTGTAGCTCAAAGCACATTATGTTCAATGAACAATCACTAAAAGCACATATAATCCTCTCATTGCATTGTGGTACAAGATCATACGAGTAAAAAGATACAATCTTAGTTACAATTAAAATATTACTCATTTAAACAATAGCGAAATTCAAAGAACTAATTGTACCCTTAGTTAGAACCTCAGAAAAACAATACAGCAGTAGAAGTACAATCAAGGTTCTTCAGAACAGAGTACTAGCTTTTTCCAAGCATCAACAGAACCATTAACTTCAATAAGATACATTTATCCTAAAAACACCAGAACTCAACTTCACACCCTAAAGCCTAAGTCACCACCATGATTCCATAAGTTCATCACAGAATAGCCACACAAAAAACAATTATACCTAACCTTCCATAAAATTTACCAAGAATAACCAAAACCTTATTAAGAATAGTTTTAGCAATAGTTCCAATAAACATAAAGATTCCAACACAATAGGCATACAACAAAACAAGAATAAATCCCAAAATTTGGATTCCAACTCATACCCAAAAGAACAATATCATAATCCCAAAGCTAAAAAGAATCAAACTTTAAACTTTACAGCCTCATTAAGAAAACAATTTCTTATCAGATCTGATCAGGAACTCAATTCTCCATCGAAATACAACAAGAAAATCCATACCCAGATACCAAAATCACATAAAAATAAAGAAAAACACGAAAAAATAATTTTTTTCACCTAGGGCTGAAACGGCATAACCTATGAAAGCAGAGGAAAAGGAAAATCAATAGCCCATATACCAAACTCTATAAAAAGTAGTGTATTATTTGTCTGACTTTTCCCCTTTCACAAAAGCAGCTGCAGCCACAGCAGCCCACCCTATACCCTATACGTATGTATACAACATATATGTATTATATATATATATATATATATATATATATAATATATATATATATATATATATCTTGGCTGGCTATAATGATGGAGCTCTCATGCTATCATGATAATGATAATGATGTGAATATTGGCTTTATGTATAAAAACAGCTAAAAAAATCTACTGCTTAATTAAATATTCACCCTCCTTATTTATTTCCATGTTTTTGTTTTGCTCTGAAAAGGAAGGAGCAACCAAGGAATGATTCTAGGTACGATAGTCGACTAGGTACTGATTTGGTGCCACGCATGACTCACGTGGTCGTTGGGATTTTCTCACTATCTTTAATAAGGAATGCAGATCTTTCTACCATAAAAAATTAATTGAAAGATTTTTCTGACCACGGAGGTATTTACAATATTTACATACATCTATATCTATATCTATATCTATATCTATATTATATTAAAAGCACAAAGGCTTCGCCTTTTTTACCCTTTAAAACATAGAGTTCCCATAGGACAATATAGTAATTTAAGTATTTCATAAATATTTAAAAATATTCACTTAATTAATTTAGTTTTCGGATTTTTTGGTAAATTTTTCTTCAATTATTTGTTATTAAACTTTGCCTTAATTAATTGGTTAAATTTTGTCATGTTTCCTACCTAAGGAAACTTAACAAAAATATTTCCTAAACTTTCACTCTCATTAAATTTTGTCACGTTTCTTGCCCAAGGAAACTTAACAAAAAAAAGTTTCCTTGTTATGAAACAATAAAAGAAGAAGAATATTGCAGAGAAAAGTAGAGAAATAGAATTCTTATTGATTTGTGATGATTACAATGGAACAGAACCCTCTATTTATAGGGAGAGGGTGACTTAGCCACCAAGTAATAAACCCTAGAATCTCTCTAAATATAGACATTCACCATAAATAAAATTCTATTTATAACACTCCCCCTTGAATGTCTATTCAACAGATAATGTGCCTCGTTAAAACCTTAACTAAAATAAAACCCAATGGGAAAAAAAATCTAGAGAAGGAAAAAGAGTACACATATCTAATAATACGACTTTCGGTAGCCTCGTTAAAAACCTTGCAAGGAAAACCCAGTGGGACAAAACCTTGTAAGGAAAAAAGAGTACAACGCATATTAACTCCCCCTCATGAGAGCATCACTTCACATCCTTAAGCATTTGCATTCCAATTTTGTGCACCATCTTCAAAAGATCTTTGGTAGATATTTGATAAACAAATCATCCATATTAACTTGAATGAATATATTGCACCTTGAAACTATCATTCTTGATAGAGATGGATTGTCTTCATATGATCTTGTTGGAATCGTCAGTTCAGTATCTTCACATAGAGGTGAAAACTCTTGCTATCATATTATCATGCATATAGTTATAGCAAGATACATTTGTGCACAAATTGCATTGAGGATGTAGTACTTCATGACCATGAATTCTATATGCTTTAAGCTATTTAAATCCTTCATGGATTGTTAAGTCATATAATCCATATAATAGACTTTAGATGCATATCAAGTTTTCATGTCATGCTAGACAAATAAGATATCGAAAACTGATTGCACATATCATTGACTTTATACTTTCAAGTATTTGAACTGCAGGTCCAAAACTACATGTCTTTCATATGAAACCAATTCTATTTGAATTGTTTCTCCAGACTTAAGATCCTCATATATATTTAGCGCTATCATAGATGTCGTCGACAAACATTTTATATCAGTTTCAATATTTTTTCATAAAGACATAACATAGAGATCTCTTCATTCATATTTTTAGGTACCTGAATCTCTCTTGAGATTTTATGAAGTGTTATGTCATGTGATCTTCTAGATCACTTGCCTCCTTTATTATGATCATTTTGATCATTTGCTCATCTTCTTTATCAAGAAGTTTATTTGAAACCGATTTGTCTATATGCTTTAAGCGTACTATAGACTTTGTCCTTCTAGGACTTATTCTAATAGGAGTATTTGCAGTGAGAATATAGTTACTTTGTTTGGGTCAGCNTCCAATCTCAAGACTAGATCATTTGGTGCCAGAGTACTCCGATCGTCTGAAGTTTCTGCGTTCTCAACATTCTCCTTTCGAATACCACTTAAATCGTCCATTTTTTTTCCTTTGCCTTTTGTATTGCTTGGAGGAGGAGGAGGTGGAGGGCCTCTAGATCTGGTATGATACAATGATGATGCCAGTTTGAGTGAACCAACCTTAGGGAATGGGAATAATCAAAATAAAGGAAAAACAAAATGTAACAAGTTCGTAAGGATTTTGAAGTGTTGCAATATTTAAACACATATTGCGGGAATGTAAATTCGTGTCCTAATTTGGGAGCCTCGTTGTGCCCGAGGTAGGCCTAGCGACAAATAATTTTGGAGAACTTTAGATGCCAATAAATGCCTCATTTCATAATATGAAAAATAGACTAATCTCAAAACGACACTAAGATAATAGAAAAAAAATAAGTCACTACTGGCACTTGGCCTTATTAAATTTTAGGAAAGCAAATAAATCTAGCCTATTTGGTCCCAGAAGGACCTTCCCAAGATTCGATCTTCCTGACTCCATCGTACAGGTCCCCCAGCTCGCGCAGACCTAGCAGCAAGTAGGCATTGGCCAGATGTCCTCCTTCAGCTCCTTCACCGTTCTGGCAATCCTCAATCCACTTTATGACTTTACCTTCCAGCTCCACTATTCCTCGCTCCAGATATTCCAACTTTTTGTTGGAAGTGACTGCCATTTCTTTTCATTCTTCGATCAACCTCACATTCCTCTCATGTATTTTCCGGTGCTCATTCTCAGAGTCGTGGACCCTCTTGTGCAGCTTGTTGTATTTGACTTGAGCTTTAGCTTCTTCGTCCATGATTCTATTCCCTTGACCGACTCCTGGCATCACCATTCCTTTTAGATTGTCTTCTAACCACGTCGGGTAGAGAGGTTCGCACTCTGCATGATACCTGTCAGGCTCGATGGTGTTCTTTTGACGTCGTCGTCTTGGAAGTCTGCTCTGTAATGACTCATCTTGGCAACGGTTGGTACAACCTGTTTCCTGCCTGTTTGCCTCATAACTCAGATAGAGACATAAAGGTATATCCCTCTCAACCCAATCAACACCAGGTGTGGAGCGTCTCTGGATCTGATGATGAATTCGTCCGTTGGGAACCACTCAAACATCCATTGCACTTGCTCCTCGGTCAGATTGTCGAAGAACTCCACCCACTCTTTGGCACTTTTCGGTTGAGCAAACCTGTCCGGAATGTAGGTCATCCGCTTGGGGTGATGGAAGGCAATATGGTCATTCAGAGCCATTCACGGAAATTCTTGGCAGTACTGGCCCCTTTGAAGATGTTCTAATAACCATAATTACAGCAACATGTTACAACCCTCGAAATGCTTGACCCCTCTTTGACAGCGCTCCAGAGCCCTGCAGATGTCGGCTATGATCATGGGGACTATGGTGTATGTCTGTCCGTTGATCCCTTCCATCAAAGTCTTGGCGACCATGGATAACCTAGTGTGGATTATTTCCCTTTTCATTGGGAATACTATTAGACCCAAGAAGCACACAATGAACACGAACACTCTGCGGTGGATGTGGCCCAAAGAAGTGAGAGAGAGCTCGTCATGGAAGGTCCGGTATGACTTGCTATGGCCATACCTCTCGTACAGATATTCGAAGGGTATGTAAGATTCCTTCAGGCATCCCAAGTCAGCATTTTTCTTCAGCCCCATCATCTTTAAAAACCCTTTACCAGTACGGTTCTCCGGCACCAATAACCCGGGGCTATCCCAAGTCAATCCCGCAAGTCCTCCAATTTTTTCTAGAAGTGGTGTCATTTCTATGTCGCCATAACGGAACACAGCCCTTTCACTATCCCAAAACAAAGTGGCAGCCTCGACAACTTATTGTTTGGATCAATGTCTAGTAGAGAAGGTAAATTGTCCAAGTACTTTCTTACGTATTTCTTGTCACTTGAGGAAAGGTCCTCCCACCAATCTAGTAGCAATGGTGGGATGTTGCTAACCATACCGAATCTGGGGACCTCGTGCCTCATTTTTTGCAAAACAAAAGGGTTAGTCCCTTATTCCCTACCATACCCGACTATTTATACATTTATGATTAGCATCTTGGCATTTAGTTCTCCAAATTAATGCACAGAACGTGGTTGTGTCCGTTGGGATTATGGAAACCCCGGTGGACTTTCGGATAAGGCTTGTCTTAAAGGACTATTATGTGGACAACATATTAATCCGACTAGGTTTGACCATGATGCATGCACAATTTCAATCAGAGTAAGGTTACTATGGGGGTCTAGACTGGTACCCTCAAGCGGACAACTTGAGGGGGAAAGGCACGGAACCGTCGACTGCACCACTGATCGACTAGTTTTACCGCAAATAAGCGTTTCGAATTTAAGGATAATAAATTGGAAGAGCGCAACCACTCATCAAGCGTTGCTATAGGATTTTGATACGAACGAGTGGAATATGATGTGGAGTATATGCAACAATAATAGCCTGTTGCCAAGTATTTGCACGTAAAAATAATAAATGCGGTATTTAAAAAAATTGAACGATAGTTACAGAAGAAGAAAACAAAAGGACAAGTCAGTTTTAGGAAAATAAAGAAATCATAAATGCTTAAAAATAAACAGTTAAATTCAAATAAGGGGAAAGGGTACTTGGGATAGAGCATGTTTGGACTAATTCATAAAAATAAGTTTATTATGGTAAGAGCCTAAATAATAATCCCCAGTAGAGTTGCCATGCTGTCGCGCCCCCTTTTTTCCTCCTCGCGGAGAATGTCCGGGTTTCGACATTTCATGGGGAAATAACTCTTTTCCTTTTGGGAATTGGGTATTTGAAGAGTCGCCACCTAATAAATTATGGTGCGTTAGGGCACTTTGAGCAATTAACTCATGGACTAGTTTGCATTATCGGAGTTTTAGGGTAAGGGGCTAGAAATAGTACTTTGACGGGGGAAGGTGTTA